AAAAGGTCATTTTTGAAAATATCTTCCAAAATAAATTACAAAAAGGTCCCTAAGAAATAAAATAATTACTTTATATAATTACAAAAAAATCCCAAAAATAAATAATGTTTCCTAAGAAACTATGTATTCATGCCCTTTTTCGTAAAAGTAAACAACTAGCATACTTTCCTATCAAAGTAAAAATACGCAAAGCATATAATTTAAATATCATGGAGGTATGCAAAATCGGAACCAAATCCGAGCACAAAAAGTGAGGTTACGCGAAGAAAATTTCATCCTCGAAAAAAAGACGAAAAGTGAATAGTGTTAAAAAATGAAAATGTAGAAATTATTCGATCTTTAAAGGAAATTGTCAATCCAAAGGAAAGAGTTTCAGAAACTATTTTCGAGCACTCGAGACGACACTAAGTGATGAGTAACTAAACTCAGAAAAAAAAAAATTCAACGAAAAAAATTTATCCGTAAAATTTTATAAAAAGAAAAGGAAGGAAAATAACCGTGTCATTACATGTATTAAAAGGATCTGGGCTGAATGAATCCCATAATCAATATCCCAGTATTATAAAGGATAGTAAATAAATGTCTTGTACTATAAGGACCCGGGCTGAATAAATCATGTAATTAATATCCCCGTACTATAAGAGATAGTAAATAAATGTTCTGTACTATAAGGACCCGGACTGAATGAATCTCATAATTAATATCCCCGTACTATAAGGGATAGCAAATAAATGTCATGTACTACAAGGATCCGGGTTGAATGAATCCCGTAATTAATATCCTCGTACTATAAGGGATATCAAATAAATGTCCTGTACTACAAGGACCCGGGCTGAATGAATCCCGTAATTAATATCCCCGTACTATAAGGGATAGTAAATAAATGTCCAGTACTATAAGGACTCGAGCTGAATAAATCCCATTATAAATATCCCCGTACTATAAGGGATAGCAAATAAATGTCCTGTACTACAAGGTCCCGGGCTGAATGACACCCGTAATTAATATCCTCGTACTATAAGAGACAATAAATAAATGTCCAGTACTACAAGGACTCGGGCTGAATGAATCCCGTAATCAATATCCCCTTACTATGAGGTATAGCAAATAAAAATTCCTTACTAAAGGGACGAACTGAGTAAAGTTCGTAAAATTTAATTCCCTTATTAAAAGAGTGACGACTTGAATGAAATTCGTATAACTTATTCCCTTACCAAGGGAAGAGTACCCAAGGTTACCAAAAATAGTACCCAGGAGCAGATTACCCAAGGGTACTAAAAAGAGTACCCAAAGGAAGATTACCCAAGGGTACCAAAAATAGTACCCAGGGAAGAGTACCCAATGGTACTACAAATAGTACCCAGCCCAGGGGCAGAGTACCCAAGGGTACAAAAAATAGTACCCAGGGGCAGAGTACCTAAGGGCACCAAAAATAGTACATAGGGAAAGATTACCCAAGGGTATCAAAAATAATACCCAGGGGCATAGTACCTAAGGGTACCAAAAATAGTACACAGGGGCAGAGTACCCAAGGGTACTAAAAATAGTACCCAATGGAAGATTACCTAAGGGTACCAAAAATAGTACCCAATGGAACAGTACTCAGGGCAAAAAAAAAAAAAAAAAAAGTTACTGTTCACATGAACAGTACTCGCGGGCACTGTTTCCGAGGGAACAGTGCCCAGGGCTTAAAAAAAAAAAATTACATTCTCAAAGCTAGACGAGCAAGCTTGGGAATGGGGGGCAACAGATAGGGAAAAATAAACCTTACCTACCTTGACCAGCCACCATACCTTTTCGACATATTTCATTATCAGAGATAAAGATTTCTATCGGATAAGAATGATAACATTTCTTATCCATGATAATAAATTACGACGTAGTTCAAAAGGGTAAGGATAACCTGGGTACAATTTGAAAAAGTCAAAGGAGTAAATCATATCCCCGATAAATCTGGCAACAAACGATCTCCTTTGATCTCGCACAAGCGGATCTCCTGCGGGACCAATTTGATTCCAATCGACAGTCATAAATAGGGCACCGAGCCGTTAAAGAAGGTACGAGAAAAAATCCCTAAACAGAATATTACATAATTATTATGTGATACGATTATAAGTAGTAACTTGATTGTCGGAGGGTTCTCGGTTGGCACCTTACCAGTGCCATTCGAGGTGACGTCCCTTTATTTTGTAGGTAAATACCGTCGTTTCGAGTTATGAGAATTTTCGCATCAACAAAAATATTTGTTCCAAATTCTCTCTCTCTCTCTCTCACACACACACACACACACACACACATATATATATATATATATATATATATTTTTTTTTTTTGCCTATCATGGACAAAAGTAAACTAGAATTGGATTCCACTGTTTGATTGGATGTAGGTATATCTGAACTTCCCAGCAATTATTATAATATGGCAACACTCTGATTCTTTACTACGAGGCCTTGAAAATTCTAGGAAACTTCTGGTTTTAGATTACTGCAGCGTGGTCCCTCGACCAGAACAATTTCAATTCCATGGACCCCAATGAAATCATGGCTACTGAAATACTCCGTATATATACACACACATCCAAAAAAGAAAAAAATAATGTTCAAAACAAATCATATGATTATCATTAGAGTGCATGTACTATAATCTCAGGTAAGAATCTAAAAATTCATAGATACACACACGTCCAACAAAGAAAAAACATAACGTTCAAAATAAATCACAAGATCGTCATTCAGAGTGCATGTATCTGTAATCTCATGTACGAATCTAAAAATTCATAGATACACACACATTCAATAATAAAAAAAATAATGTTCAAACAAATCATATGATCATCATTCAGAGTGCATGTATATGTAATTTTAGGTTCGAATCTAGAAATTTATAGGGGAAGATTTGTATAGAGGTTTTTTTTTTAGTGAGGACAAATTCAAAATTTAATGAACATGAATATAAAAAAATACAAATTTAGAAGTATGAAATGCAATAACAAACTGTAGATCAGTGCCTGTGCAATCTGTTTATATATACTGGCTAGTAATTATACATCAAAATAGATGTAGTTCTCGTTTTTCTTCCCTTTTTCCCTTTTTGATCTTAATAGCTTGAAAATTTTGATGCCCGACAAAATATTGAATCAATTTTGGAAAATATTTCTTTTTGACAGTTACTTAACTAGAGGATACAAATTAATCTAGATTGGTCTGCTATATATCACAAGTGGTTTTAGAATAGCGAATTAGTCACTTACCAAAAAAAAAAAATAATTTACTTGTCTATTATATAAGTTGATTTTTCATAATTTATTTAAATATACGTTGTGGTTGACAATATTAAAATGTGTGAATGAAATAATATTTAGTCGTAACTCCTCTCCTTAAAGTAAAGAGAAGGGCCCAAAGAAGAAAAAACTGAATAAAAAAACATTTTGGGTTATAATTTATAAACTTTATTATTCATGTTTGAAATCACAAGGCAAAAGCTCTTCAGCTTTTTTAGAAATCAACCTTCACTGAATTTTCTAACAATATGATTTATAAAATCTAAGCACAATAATTGAACATTTGCATTAATGCCAAAATTTGTCATTTCCAGGAGTTTTCTTTTATCAATAATGTACATTTGCATTTTTTAAAATCACTATCTAAATAGGAAAAAAAAAATAAAATGAAACACATATTTATATATTATATTGCATGTATTCCATTCATAGCATTTCTGTATTAATCTTTATGAATTTGAGACCTCACTTTTTGAACTTATTGCTCACAATTGCATGACTAACAAATTTCAACAACGTAGTTCGTCATACTTAACTATATTTACTGACACACAAAACACACTCGCATATATATAGATGTCACTTATTGGAATAAACAAACAGTGACGAATTTCTTGTTACAAGTCTTTTTCATATATAAATTGTTATTACTATAATTTCTCAGCTATTTATATATATATATATATATTCACAAGCTAGTAGTGATTGTGATGGCATATCAGCATCATGATCTTATACAATGCTGCGTTCATTGAAACGAAACTATGTGCGTGGCTATTAGTTAGTTGTGCAATTGAAGCCAAAGCCAATATAGCAGTTTGTCGATCATTTGATTATGTTTTTATACCGACACTGAAATTGTTAAGAAGATCAGAAAACAAGGAAATTAAACTCTGTACTGACTATTTATTTCCTAAATTTATACACACTAGTGTGTGTGCGTGTATATATATATATATATATATATATATATATATATATATATATATATATCCTTATCTCAAACAGCCACATCATTCGTTTTGTGATACTTATCAATTTCCTTCTTGTACATGCCATCAGGGATAAATTATAACAGGTCTCGGATCACATGGCCCCTAACTATGTAATCAATTTTTTGATTGCATGTCATCTTTTTATTAGTCGAGATTACATGATTTAAGATCATATAATAATTTCTCACATAACTTGTCGTTTAGTGTTACTTCCTTATCAGGCAAAGTAGAAATCTTTCAAGTCCTTGTAAAAATAAAATTGGGTGAGCGAATTTCTTATCAATATATATATATACACACACCCATGCAAATTACATATCAACAAGTCATTAGCTCAAGCTTAATGGTATGACCTCTCCTTCCAATGAATAATTTGTGAAGCGCGTGTCAATCAATTAAAAAAAAAAAAAAAAACTAATTATATAACTTTGTGTACCTACTATTTACTGTGAAAGAAATGCTAACATGGTAACAACCGATTCAAAATTAGCAATATTGAATTGTATTTATAAGCACACGCATCAAATAGAATTGTACTGAAAATCGCATTTTTCAGCTGGTTGAAGTTTCTGTGCACTTTGCTTTCACGGTACGTATACTGGTCCATGCAAAATAAAGCAAACAAAATTTGCGAAAATTCCAGGAAATTTCAGCAAAAAGAAAGATTGTCCTATATATATACTCTTAACACTAGCAATACTTGTATATATATAGAGAGAAAAAGGGATAGCTAGAGAGAGTGCATGTGCTTTCCTCAACCACCCTTTCTAGTTTAATTGTTGAGAAGTGCATGAAACAATGGATTCACAGGAGAACTTGAACTTGGAAAATGAGGATTCAAAGGAGTTCAGCAAGGAGCACTACCCGGTCGGACGGACTGCAGCAACCATGTCGTCGTCTCTGTTGCGTCAGAAATCCGATCCAGCGCTTGTGGCGAAGGTTCGGTTTCGATTGCTCAGACTATTTCTCACCAACCTTCAAGAGGTGGTACTTGGGACCAAGCTTTGTGTGCTATTCCCAGCCATTCCTTTGGCTATCATAGCAAAGTCCTACAATTTTGGAAGAGTAAGTAGTTTTACTGACTTAGGACCAAAATTAGGTCTAGATTAATTGATTTAATAATAAGAAGATTGTTAAATAACTGTTATTTATTTTTATTTTTTTCAATGTACCAATTAAGCAGCCTTGGATATTTGCTATGAGTTTAATAGGACTTGCTCCACTTGCTGAACGGCTCAGCTTTTTAACCGAGTAAGATGGCAAATTTATTTGCTTAGTTTACATCTAGAGTGTATATATATATATATATATATATGCTACCTTATGTGATTTAATCTATGGACTCTTCTGACATTTTGTTTTTGCTCTTTCGATCCATTTCAATTCCTTGCCAAAACTCAAGACAAATTTCATACTTCACTGGTCCAACAGGTATATATATTTCTTGATCATCACTTTCTCATGCACCCTCCAAAAATAATACTCCGTATCTTATATGCACTAATTTCGTATTTTTATGAATTAATGACAATTTTTTTTTTCCCCCAAAGTTCAAACGGACGCATACATACCCGCGATATTGTGCCTATTAGGGTTCCAACACTCACCTCGATCCCCACTGGGAGGAGAGATCATAACCTAATGATGTTAATTTGTAATAATTAATTGCAGTTGGAGGGCTCTTAAATGCAACATGTGGTAATGCAACAGAGCTTATAATAGCAATATTTGCTCTTCAGCAAGAGAAAATACATGTGGTGAAGTACTCTCTTTTGGGTTCCATTCTTTCAAACCTTCTTCTTGTTCTTGGAAGCTCACTTTTATGTGGAGGTTTGGCCAATCTGAAAAAGGAGCAAAGATTTGACAGAGTAAGACATTATTAATCACAATAAAATAACATAAAATAAAATAAATCCGATATTAGCTTATGCTTGTAAATTCAACCATTTCACCATTAGGGTTTATTTAATCTGATCATTTATTTTGTTGATGTTCTTAATTTGCCATTCAACAGAAGCAAGCTGACGTGAACTCGCTCCTTCTCTTGCTCGGATTGCTTTGCCTTGTGCTGCCACTGTTGTTCAGATATGGGGTAGTGCCGGATGCTTCCACAGCCTCTTCAGTTCTTCACTTGTCCAGAGCAAGCAGCATTTTTATGCTTGTGGCATATATTGCATATCTCTTTTTCCAATTAAAAACCCACAGACAATTGTTTGAATCCGAAGAGGTGATTAACACTATGCTGCAAATTAAACAAACAACAAACAAAGCTATACTGAGTTAACTATGAATATTAATTTTGTCAGTAGTAATTCCATCAAATTTCAAGGGTTCACAATTCCATTTATCATGCATGTCAAATTTCAATTGTCAAAATAATAATAATAATAATAAAAATCAAATTATGGAATTTAAAACCTATATGCTTTATTAATATTGACAGGAAGGTGAAAATGATGATTTGGTTTCTGAAGAGAAGGCTGTGATAGGGTTTTGGAGTTCATTTATCTGGTTGCTTGGCATGACAGTTATCATAGCTTTGTTATCTGAATATGTTGTGGGCACAATAGAGGTATCTCTCTCTCTCTCTCTCTCTCTCTCTCTATATATATATATAAGTTTATGACCAAATCTTAATTAATTCCTTAGAAACCTATATATATATTATAAACATATAATTAAGCAAAAGCATAGCCTTTAATTTGTTAATTAATGGAATTATAATATTTGTTTCAATTAGGCTGCTTCAGATTCTTGGGGCATTTCTGTTAGCTTTATCAGCATAATATTGTTACCAATTGTGGGGAATGCTGCAGAACATGCTGGTTCAATCATATTTGCTTTCAAGAACAAGTTGGTATGATAAATAACTATGTATATATATATATATATGAAATATGATACTTAATTTTACACAATCTTGTCACACTCTGGATATATTGAACACTAATTTTTGGGTATCATGCAGGATATATCTTTGGGTGTCGCTTTGGGATCTGCTTCTCAAATATTTATGTTTGTGGTGAGACTCTAACTAATTATTTAAAAGGCCAAGAGGAAAAAAAAAAGAAAGAGAAGAAACTATATATATATATATGCATGATTATAAAAATTCCAAAATAAGGAATACTAACCATTTTGTTAATTGATTTCAGGTTCCTTTATGTGTGATCGTTGCATGGATAATGGGTGTCCATATGGATCTTGATTTCAATCTCCTAGAAACTGGTTCTCTTGCTTTCTCAATTATTGTCACAGCCTTCACTTTGCAGGTTCTGCGTATATTTGTCTCTGCAATTATATCTCTTATTGTTGTATATATATATGCGCTAATGGTTGCTTCAATGTCACAAATTAAAACCAGAAAAATGATAAGTAGTCCGAAAATCAGACTATATTTATTCTCTTGAATTTTATATCACAACTCTTAAAACACCTAGACATATTCTATTTTGAAGGCTATCTATAGCCTATACAAAACCACAAAACCACAAAACCAAGTTATCTCTGGAACCAGAGCTAGCTAGTCAGGGATGGCAATTTATTCCGATCCAACGGGTTTCTGCCCCGCCCCTGTCCTTAATGGGGTGGATTTAGTGGCCCCTAAATAAATTTGGAATCGAAATGGTAAAATAATTGAAAATCCGAAACGGGTTTGGGGTGAGGGCGGATGTAGTGATGAACCCGTCCCTCCCCCCGATTATATATGTACTTTTTAATTTTTTTTTAATATATAAAATATATATTTTATATTTTCCAGACTCTTGTTACTTTGTTGGAAATATCGTTTAATATATTAATATTTATTACTTAGTAATTTAAAAGTTGTACCAATTTATTTATTAGCCTAATTTGAAGTAGCATAACCCGCTCCGTCCCAACTGTGCCTTACAATTAATGGAGTATATATAGTGGAGTCGATATTTTGTCTACCAGAATAAGAACGAAAATGGTATAATAATTACAAATTCATTTTAAAGTAGGGGCAGAGTTGATAGATGTTATAATGATTGGATGGCTAGTCACTTCCAACGTACGTGTACAATCACCTTTAAATTATACGCATAAAGTAAAATCACTTTCAAAGTCTAGGTATCGACCAAACTCGGAGTACAGCACAAGACCAAGTCATGTTAGAGGGGCTTTATGCCAACTCAGCTATATGAAATAATACAAGATGGACACACAATAGTACAATTATTCTTGAAAAAGAGAGACCGATAACGTTTTGAATGCAACAATACATATATATACATATATAATGTATATATTGCCACCACTTCACATTCACCAGAGTTTGCATTTTCTGATTTCTGCAGGATGGAACTTCACATTACATGAAAGGAGTGATTCTTTGTCTGTGCTACACTGTTATTTCAGCATGTTTTTTTGTTCATAACTTTACACAAAGTAAGTGCATGCCTGCCCAAACTTCCAAAACCTGCATATATATATATATATATATATGCCTGCCCAAACTTCCAAAACCTGCATATATATATAATTTTAAAATAACTGATTTTGCTAATAATTTTGTCTTGTTGATAGATCAAACAACTGTTGTTGACATGGGATCAGTGAATTCATCATCATCTGGAGTGATTTGGGATACTTAGCTTGGCTTGTCATTTGTTCATCGATCAAGAATGATAAACAGCATTGGATACAGTTCATGTGGCGGATTAATTATTAAAAGTTCTCACTTGAGGGCAAGACAGTTTAAATAATTGTACTTTGATGAAATTCGGAATCATCTTTTTTTTTTTTTTTTTTTTTTTTTTTTTTAATAATAAAAAACAATAAACAAAGAAGAGAACAGAACTTCCCATTGGAGATGTGTTGTGTGCGTGTGTGTGTATATAAATATATAAATATTCTTGTATCTTTTAGTCAACTCTTTGTTTTTGATTTCTTAATGTGATGTGGCAGAAGTGCGATTAATTGCTTCATCTTTTGTAATAATCCATAAATAAAACCTTTCAACTTCATATAAATAAAACCTTTCAATTTCATATTTACTTTAAAATTCCTCTCGTTATTTTTGTTTCTGGGAGTCAATAGATCACCATCTTTGATCATTATAGCTATTAACAAATACCTATCAAAGTAATTGATGTATATTAATAATCAAAGACATAATATTTTATATATAATGAGGGATACACAATCTAATTATATACTAGAGATGTCTGAAGTATTTCAAGAGTTCTTAGAAATGCAATAATAGTATATATATATAATAGATACACAATTTACATAGTAATTGAACCTTTAATTGTCAACAAAAATACTAGATTAAGATGAAACCTAAAAAAAAAGTCTACAACTTTCTAAATAATTGATTACCTTATATTTTAATATGGGTCCCATTATATTTGACACATAAATAGTTATATAGACTTGGTGAAATAGTAAGTTTTTATTTGTCAGGCTAAATAGGAGGACTCTTTTTATTATTATGACTTTTTATTTTTTTTTTATATTAGATGGACTAAACCCCAGCAAAATACAAGTAGCCCAAAAAAAGATCCAAAACAATAAAAATGAGACAAGACATGGTCATGATCCACGGGCCCCAATAAACCATAGGCCTAAAATAACAACTAATAATTGACTTGGAAGCAAATTAAAAAAGGCAATTGGCAAAAGGGTCACGAATGAGAAAATTTTTGTTGCATCCATTTTTTGTTTTTGTTTTGGTTAGAAGTTAGATTAGTAGATGAAGAGAGTCGAAATTTCACACTCTAAAACCCACCGAAATACTTTGATAGATTTCTCATCGAAAAATTAGTATTTATTTATTAAAGGTATAGAGTAAACTCAAGAGTACAACACAAAACCTCAGTTATGCCTAGAAGCCTTATGCCAACTCAGTCTTGTTATTTTTTTCTAGGCCTTATTCACTTCCAAAGTATATAAATTCAACAATAGAAAAATGATAATATAATAAATTCTTGAAAAAGAGGTCAGATAATGTGTGAGTGCAACAATATAAACACATGGATTACACAATTATATTGGAAAACCCCTTTTAGGGTGAAGATGCAAGAAATTTACTCTCCCGATTTGGAAAGAATAGTTTTACACTTCAAAAATATCTCAACCCCCTTTTCCTTTTTTTTTTTTTTTTTTTTTCCAATTTAAGTGATGGTTCGATTGAACAAAGTGTTCTTTCCAGACTCGTTTCCAGTAGGTCGTGCTCGGCCCAGGTCGTTTTTGGTATCCTCATCTGCCCCCATAATCTCTCCCTAATTAATTAGGGTGAGATTATCGAAGGGACTTAATCATGATGAGACTGCTCGAGGTAATGATGTGGGGAAGTGAACGGTTGGTTTAGAGACCCACGTTTTGAGATTTGAAGCACCATTATTGCCATAGTTCTTTGGGTATCGAGCCATTTTCTCTTTGAAACCCCAAACCTCAAGCTCGTGTCCTTACTCTGCCTTTGTCATCTTTGCCTTTAAGCATTGTCTTTCCTAATCGTCTCTGCCAATAACCAGTCTTCGCTAGTGAGTTCTCCTTAACCTCTTTGGAGAGTTCTTCCTTTGCAATTCTTCGTCTCTCATTTCGCTGCGGTGTATTCTATAAATCCTTTTTCTAAGGTTAGTTTCACTTTCTTATTGTTTTTTCGAAAACTTTATTCTTTACTATTTTTCCTAAAAGAAAGAAGATCTAAAATTGAGAATCTCCTTCGCCATTATTATGGCTCCTGACTTAGAGGCTCTTCGTTTAAGGAACAAAATCCCTAACAACGTCTCCATTAGGGTTTATCCTAAAGACTTGGATGAGAGATCTGGTGAGGGTCTTCTTCCAGGGGAGGTCATCTTCTTTGTTTTTCATTTAAACATAATTAGATTTCCTTTACACCCGTTCTTCTGTTATGTTTTCAGCAAATTAGGTCTTTCCCCTCTTCAGGTTAACCCCAACTTCCTTAGGGTAATATTAGTTTACTTGATTTTGAATCGTGATAGGAATTTCGATTTAGATATCATAGATCTTCTTCTCTGCTACCGAGTTACCAAAATCAGAACCAATAACATGTACTTTCACTTCTTTCCCATTGAGAAACGATCTATTTGTACAGACAAACTTTTATCTGAGATGGGTTAGAGGAAAATTTTAATTGGGGTTAGTGCAAATTGGCAAACTCTATTCGCTCAAACTTTCCCTATCTAGACCATTTTCGGAGAGTGCTCTGTCCCTCTATATAAGAAATATAAGAAACATCCTACCGACTGCCCCTATGAAATTTGCCTTCCCCATTTTTGCACTTTTCTTTCTGATTGCCTTCACATTCCTCATGACGAATTGGTTTACAGTATTTGTAAGGCTACAATCGATCTTCTGGAGGAGAGATTTCTGAACGACATCCCCTCGGCCACAGATCTGCTCATATCGGACAACCTTTCTGACATATCCATTCTTGGTGCCACCATGGAACACATCCAGATTCCTTCATTCAGCAGAAAAAGAAGACCATCCTCTGTAGCTGCGCCTGCGGTTACCCCGGCCACTTCTGTGGCCATTCCAACCGTCCCAGCTACGACTCAAAATGCTAGGCAACCTACCATTGAACCCTCTGTATTTACTTTGGTTGAAGTTCAATGTAATACCCCTAATTTTCAAAAGGATAGTCTCGGTATTTTGTTTAATTGTTTTCTGTTCATTAATTGGTTTTTATTCATTAATTGTTTTGAATTATGTTTTCATATGTTTTAATTGGTTTTTATTTATTTGGTTTCCTTGCCTTATTTGTGTTCTTTGAAGTAATTGGTTGGTTTATTTGTTTTTTTTGGGTTTAATTAATTTATTTGATTTATTTACATTAATTATGTGTTTAATTGAAATGGTGTTATATTTAATTCTTTATTGTAAATTTAATTTGGTAAGTGTCTTGATTTAATAAGTAGGGTTTTACAATCAGTTTGTAAGCCCTCGTAGGTTTCTCAGTATGTTGGATGGGCCGGTTAGGTTTTCAGTTGGGGCTTAGGGTTTAGTAAAATCCTATAAATATATGTTAGATGTTTGGTTAGGGTTTGAGAAACATAACAAAACCTATACGACTGTGGAGACAAAGGAAGAACAGAGAGGGTTCACGTTGGTTTTCATCGGAACTTTAGAGACGGCGTAGAGATTTTTGGACAAAGATCTCAAAGGCAAGTTCTAACCTTACTCTCTCCCTTATACTCGTGTTCTTTGCATACTCAATGGTTCCAGGATGAATTACATGTTTGAAAATAAAAACGCTATCTGTTTCATGTTTAGAGTGTAACTGAAACTGAAATTGTTTTAAAATTGTAAATTGTTTAAACTTTGAACTTTCTTGTTTAATTCTTGGTTTAATCCATATTAGTAGCATAATAAGGACTGAATTAAGGGTTGGAATCTTCTGCGATTAAGTTAAACTCTCTGAAAACCTATACTGTGAAGTATCGGAGGCGTAAACGGCGACCGGAGAGGAGAACACGAAGAAGAGGAGGGAGAGAGCCGGCTCCTATTGGATTGGAGCCGGCTCTCCTTGGACTGGAGGCGGCTCCAATGGTCTAGGAGCCGGCTCCAGGGCCATTGGAGGTGGCTCCAATATTCTGGAGCCGGCTCCAGGTTGTTTATTCGTGGGTTTTTGGTTCTGTTGGTTGTTTTTCCAATTTTTCAGTGATTAGGCTTCCTAGTGATTGTTTTAATATGTTTTAGTGGAGAATGAATACTGTAATGGATGGTTTAGGAGTGGTCTAGGGTAAACGTAAATATGCAAAGACCAGATTAACATAGAATTGGACACAAAGCATTAATCATTAGGATTACATGGAGTTAATTACGAATGTCTTGTAGACTGTGTGGATTTGGAGTTTCTAATTTCTTAATTATATTAGAAATTTTCTGTGAGAGCTTGTCCACTCGAATTATATGTTCATGGAAATAGAAATTATGCTAAAAATTTATATTTCACTGAAAATTAGTTGATGATTAAATTTAACGGTTAGTGCGTCAAGTTGTTGGACAGGAAACTATAAGTATAATAGATTACTTATATTTATTTTGCATGCTATAGATTTAAGTGGAGAAATATCTATTTAGGCTCTGTTAATTCTATGGAAACTGGGAATAGGTCATAATTATAAATAAAGCCCTGTATGATCAAATTATGGATTCTGAATTGGCTTACTTAAGCATGTTTGTTAATCTGTTCTAACATGTTTAGTTTGGAACTGTTGGTATTGACATTTATATGGTCATTATTTTGTCAACTGTGAATGTAAATAAGCATGTTGATTATCTATTTCAATATGCATAGTAAGGAGTAGTTGACATTGATATTTATATTTTCAATGTGAATCAATTATTGGTATTTTTAAGAATGGTTGCTAATGCAACTATTGGACGGATTGGATTGTATGTACCGGTATGGGACGGTGACATACTAGGTTTGGATTAGCTCAAATTGCTAAGTCCTACCTATTTTGGAGTAAGGGCACGGGTTATAAAATACAATCCTCCTTATATATATAAGTCGGTACGGTTGAATACGCCGAGTGACTTACTGGATTTCTTGTGGATGGATAGAAACGGAGTTTAGATATATTTTTATGTTACCGTGTCATGAGCTTGAGTCTCAGTGTCGACGGTTAGGGTGCGTATATGCAGTTGGATGTGTAGCTGACTGTGAAGGTTGAGGTATACCCTGTTTAGGTTTAGGTACTCATACCCACTCAGGTGCGTATTGTGTGATGCCTTCTATCCAGGTTGAGACCCCCTTCATGGCCTAGCGAGAGTCC